CAAACCTTGTGTCATGTGCAGTAAAGAATACCCGGAGCAATAGGATTAAGAGAATCATGTGGGCCCAACCTAAAGGAATGAGTGATTCCAAAGATGCCCCCATCTTCAAAAGAGATAGAACTGAATAAGCTGGTGGAGAAAAAGACAACTGTATCAGAAGAATGGATGAAGTACACTGTGTGAGGAAGAATGGACATCTTTATTGTGATGAGAAACCCAGCTATTGCGGCTTTGGATAAAATAGCTCAAATGTGAAGTTCTGCCAAGTGGCAGGAAGGAGTGAGAAGAAGGCAGTCATCCATATAATGGTGTGCGTGAATGCTTTATGAGTGAAGATGACTATCCATCAAAATATATATGGGGCAGATGTGAGGCCAAATGGTAAAGCATGAAACTGAAAAACCTGTACTTCTTGCAAAAAATGGAGGTAGTGACATGAAGTCTCCGAAATCAGAATGAAGATAGACATCGGTAACATCTAAACTTGACATCCATAGACCAGGTGCAAATTGCCACCAAATGGAAAAAAACAATTCCATTGTAAACCAAGATTGAGACAAGAAAGGTCAATGACAGGTTGCCAATCACCTGTCGTCTGTAGTACTACAAACAAATGGAAAATACAGGAAATCATCTAGTAGAAAACCAGGAAAGGCAAGAGACCACTGTTGAAAGAGAAGAGCGGAGACAAGTCACATCCATTCTAGATTCCAGTTTCCATGCGTATGTGGCAGATGTTTTTACTAGAGATAGTTTTTTTGTTTTTTAAAAGAAAAAAATGGCTTCTCAAAAACTATGAAGCAATGTTTTTCTACAACTTTCTTATTTTTATTATGTAAACTAATTATTCAGTACCTGTATTCATAACTAATATAATTCCCGAGATCATTCAACAACTTCATGTAAAGTAAAATTTAGCTCCTAGACATTAAAAATGTGCCTTACACCAGCTATCAGAACTAAAACAAGTCCTGACATGCATGGATATCTGTTAACAGTATATCGTACATCAGAACCAATTTAGTCACAACACAAGTGGATATCTGTGTAACATATATATATATATATAAGATGTAAATCAAAGTCCTTATACTACACAATTTCAATGTGAGTGTCAGTTGGGAGGATACATTTTTGTATGTGTTGCAACAATCATGAAACAGTATCATGGTCTTCTATTTGGTAAACCCTGCCCAAACAGTTGTGAGCAATTGTATGAAGGTTATGACAACTTAACACATTGTGGATGGGTCACAAGTTTACTCATGTTTCATGCAGAGCATTTTCGTTTGCCATTTATTAAAGCATTGCATTCAAAAGAAGCTGGACATGTTTTATTTTATATTATTTTTCTGATTTTTGCTTTCAATATCCATATTTCTATAAATGGCTTCTCGCAAAATACGTAATGGGCTGAGTGAAGATGAGATAATTACTGAACTATTTGATGACAATTTGTCAGATCTTCCAAGCGAAGGTGAAGATTCTGATGTAGATGTTTTTTGGATCATTCTGAGAGTGACTCTAGCTGCAGTGGCATTGTTAGACCTACAAAGATACGTAAAGTTGTTGTGCTCTCAACTGATTCTGAATCAGAAAGTGATAATGATTCTAGAAATGTTCCTGTTAGTGATTTGTTTTCCCATCGTGATAATGATAATTGGTCTGAAATAGATATTCCACTGAACTTGGAAATGTTTGAAGGTAATCCATTCGAACCCGAAAGGTTTGCTGCCGTGACAAGTCTAATGTTTGGTGAAGACGTGTTTGAAATGTTTTGTCAGGAAATGTGTACCTATCATAATAAAACTGCAGAGAAACATAAAATGTCATCTAAAGGACTTTAATGGTCTGACGTTGCACCCACAGACATGACGAAATTCTTAGGCTTTATTCTACTAATGGAACAGACAAAAAAATATAACTGGAAAGATTATTGGTCAACAGATACTATTTTGATTAGCCCAATATTTTTGCAGATTTAAACAACTTTGGACATTTTGGACTTTCAATAATAATCAGAAAATAGATGAGTCTTCGGGCAGGCTCTTCAAAATTCAACCAGTACTAGATTATTTCCTCAATAAATTCAGGACACTATACAAACTACAGCAACGGTTGTCATTGGATGAGGCCATAATTCCATGGAGAGGACGTCTAAGATTCCAAACATACAACACTGCGAAAACAGTAAAATATGGCCTGTTGGTGAGAATGATGTATAAGAGTGACACAGGTCATATTTGCAACTGGTGAGGGGAAAAAAATCGGAAGAGACTATTCTTTCAGTTTTTGCTCCCAATCTTGGATTGTGGCACCATGTATACCAGAACAATTATTACAACAGTACTACCACTGCAAACCTGTTCCTAGAACATAAAACAAGAGTCTGAGGAACAATCAGAGTAAATAGAGGGTTGTCGCCAATCCTGGAGGCTGAAGTTTCAACAATGAAAAAACTTGAAACAGCTTTCCAGAGAAAGGGTGATGTTCTCGTTTTCATATGGAAGGACAAGAGAGAAGTGAGAATGGTTTCAACCATCCATGACTCATCTGTTTCTATTACAGGAAGGAAAACTAGAATAACTGGAGAAGAAATAAAAATACCTGAGTGTGTTCTCCAATACAGTGACAAATGAAAGGTGTTGATCGTGCAAATCAGTACCTCTCATACTACACCATTCGTAGAAAAATAGTGAAATGGACAAAGAAGGTAGAACTTTCTCTAATAAATTGAAGCCTTTTCAACTCATATATAATCTACAAAGCCCTGAATCAACAAAAATATATAAAATATAAGCAGTTCCTCCTCTCTGTGGCAAGAGAATGGATTACTGACAAACAGAAAGAAGGCTCAGTGGGACTAGAGGGGAATGAACTTAGTCCATCATCAGGAAGACTGTCTGGTGACATGAAGCAGCATATTCCTGTATTCATTTCATCTACAGGAAAAAAGAAATTTCCTACCAAAGCCTGCAAAGTTTGTACTGCCCATGGGAAAAGAAGTAAAATGCGATACATATGCAAGTTTTGTGCAGTTTCACTCCACACAGGAAAATGTTTTATAATATATTACACTTTACAAACTTACTAGGTGTCTTCATATACATATTCTGTATGTTTCAAATAAATAATAAGAAATTTAGTTGAGTTGTAAACAAAAAAAAATGTGTCCGACTCCTTTCAAACTCAACAATTTAATAAATGGCATACGAAGATGCTCTGCAAGAAACACAATTAAACTCATAACCCAGTTGCAATGAGTTAACAGTTGCTCTTAAAACATGGATACTTAACTAGAGTATGTAGACTGTTAGAAATAATAGCTATTCTTTATATACAAGCCAGGGCATAGTGGAGCCAAAGTGAGAAGCAACAATATTATGGCACATTTTCAGTCCCATAGTGCTCAGCTACTAATAAATGAAATTATTATTATATGTATTTAAAATATTTCCTCGCTAGAATTTGTTTATAAAAGCAATGTATTACTAAGAACAATTAACAGTGGATACACATTAAAGCTGACCATTGTACAATTTAAATGCAAGTATTTAAAAATACACTTCTGTCAAACAATATGCATGTATCAGTGGAAACCTCATTCCAAGCTTCCATACAAAGAATTTCAATTCACAATGAATGCCTGCTTTTATTCCAAATCAAGCAGCAGAGGTTTCAGCCAATCAGAATTAGAATTCACCTTGGCTTTTAACTCTGTCTTATATAACAAATGGCAGAGCACTTGTAAAAGTATTCTTTGAAAACTTAGTTAATTATATATTAACTCTCTTGCCACGGGCTCAGCCAAACTGGACAAGTTTGCAACCCCAAATTGAACATTATAGATTCATTACTATAACTTCTAATATGTTTTGTATATCTTCACAAAATATCACAAGATTTCAGTAATCATTAAGCCTTTTGTAAACAAAAAATCATAATTTTTCATAAAGTATTTCCACTTTGACTGCTCCATGTGCAAAGTGATTTTCATGTTCAGATTAAATATACTTTTTTTCATCCGAAAAATCTCAAATTTCATTTGTGTAATCTCTAAAACTTACTAAATAAATTTCAAACATTTTTTCAGCAAAATTTATGTTTTATCTGCTATTTTCTGTACCCTAATTCTAAACAAGGTTGATCAATTTGACTGACCTCATAACCTCCCAAAAATTCAAAATAAATCCAAGTTACCCTTTTGTTCTTTGTAGAATGACTCAAATTGTTAACATTAAGCCCCTTAGAGACAGGTCACGGGTGAAGGCCGTGTCATCTCTTTTGTTGACTCACATTCAAAATTTTATTGAACTGCTATTTCATGAATTTATGTCAATAAGTTGGGTATCAAACTGTAGATTATAATTCAAATTTTAGTACTATACATTACTCAATTTCTTAATTTAAAAGTAAATATTAGAAAAAACAGATAAACATCGATTTTTGTGTGTCACATGGTATGTTGAATGCAGCATTGATTCTAATTAGATGTATGTGAAATCAAAATACCAAGTCTATAGTTTTGTATGAATTGGGCTATATTTTATGTATTAATAGAGTAAAAATCTTTCCAGCTTAATTGTCTCTTTTATATGAAGCTCTACAAACACAAGGCATACATCAATTCTCATGAAATATGGTAGCAAAGGTAAAGTAGGTAATGCAACAGAGGTAGCTTGTCTCTCAAGGTTCAAGTTAAATCAAAACACATTCCTCATATTTTATATTTGTGTTTTGTTCTATTTTTAGCAAGTGAAAAATTATAAATCAGTGCCATGTAAGAGTGAAAAAAGCACAGCACAGTAAGACAGCCAAACAGTCTAACAGTAAAGTGATGGGTAAAGATAAACAGAAGCATGTTCATATCTTAGATTACAGTTCAATTAATGATTATTCAAATGTATGTCAATTAAGAATTTTCTATTTTTAAATTAATATCTAGAGTAGTGGGATTTATGCATTATGCATCTGCTTCCTTTCTGTAATTATGCAACCTTTCCACAGATCACCTTAAGGAAGCCTGTTGATGACCACATATTAAGAACTGCTGATGCATTTAGACATTTAATTGAGGGTTGCAATACCTATAAAGTAGACTATTTTTCATTATAATATCAACAAAATATAACCAACATACTGTCTTAAATTTTGTTTGTAAATTTGAAAAACAAAGACTATTTACATTATTATAACTTAGCACATTTTTAATGTCAAAATGTGAATTTCTGTTTGCATTAGCCAAAATATAAGCAAAAACAAAATAAATATGCATATACAGTATGCACATTATAAAAATAATGTAATAACATAAATCTTTTTGAGCTCTAAAAGATTTTCACAACTAATGCAAGACCATAAAGCATAAGGCTATACATAAAAAACTTTTCTTTCACTTACAAAAAATCACATTGTATAAAAATCTTTAATTTTCAAACACTGTTAAAATAAAGAAATATTAACAACTTCAATTTCACATAGCATGCTCATTTAAAATTATCAATTCCCAAACAATCTGCACATTTCTATACAGTTTAGGAAAATCCACACAAGTTTATATAAAAGCAAGTTTACCAATGTTAAAAAATATTTAAAATGACAGTATAAAATCAAATTTAACTTTCAACAAACAGAATCATAGAAAAATTAGAGCTGTAAGCAGGACATACCTCAGCATTAAGATTATCAGCTAAATTCTGAATGAAGTTACTCTCAATTGGGTAATGGTTGGTTAATAGTGACAAATAATGGCTCAGTTTATCATGTGTTGTGATAATTATTCCATGTCCAGTTTTGTCAAACTGGGGTCGCCCTGCACGTCCAAAAATCTGCATCACATCCAGAATTCCCAAATCCACAAAAGAGCCATGTTTGGAATCGTAAATTTCAGTCCCCTGTCAAAAAAGCACATATATATATATATATATATATTTACACACACACACATTAGGAAATGCCAACCTAAAAAAAAAAAATGTCACAAAATAACTAAAACAGAATAGACATTAAGCATAATAATTCGTAACGCTAACTTAAATGTACATAAAAAAGAATAGCAGTTAAAAGAGCTAATCTCCATGGGTCATTGCAATAAAAGTTAAAACAAGTTATATTACAATGTGGTTAGCATTAATGTACAAGAATAATATATTTCACAGAAGCCAATTACCATAACTAACATTTTAATTAATTATTTCATTTCCTACAAAAGGTGAACCCACAGATGAATACTCCAAGCATGGATTAGTATTGTGTTAGCAGATAAGTGCTTCAAATTTGGGATGAAATGTTAACAGGCAAGTACCTTCAGATGGGAATACTGTAACATGTCAATTGGTGAGAACTTTCCACTTGGGATAAAGCACCAAGTTAGCTAAGAACTCTAAGCATAAGATAAAGTACTGTTTTAGCATGTGTAAGTCACTAGCAAAGATTCAAATGTTGGATAAAATAAAGTATCCCTAGATTGGCAAAAAGTGATTTATCAAGTGAGTGTAAGTGGCAAAAGTTTTACGTTAGCAAATCAATATTCCTATTCCAGGTTAAAGTGTCTTCTTTGCAGATGAGTATTCCTAGCCAAGAATAAAGTGTTGAGTTTAAAGGTAACAAAATATGCTCATCATAAATTACTGTGCTAGCAGGTGAATACACATAATCCATTTAAGAATGTATTAAATGAGTAACTTTGATCCATCATAAAACTGTGTGTTGTGAGACAAGCTTATCTGATTCATAAATCATATCAGATTAATGCAGCTGAGCCATCATATATAGTTTTATTAGCATTATCAGATGTGTTTTTAGCAGATCAGTACACTTGACCCATTAAAAAATACTGTGCAAGGAAACAAGTATTCTTAACAGGAGTTTTGTTAAAATATAGCAGTTGAGGATATGTCTAATTAAAAATTTTTTTAGCAGACAAGTAAGCACATGTGACCCATAATAAGCAGTTGAGGCCTAAGCTTTGCAGTTACTAAAAATATATAAAATCTGTCCGTGTCTGATTTACAACTATTTGGAATAGAAAAAAAAAGTAAGTACCAAAAATTATATAACTAATACCAATCTGAATCGAAATGGTAACACATCAAACATTTTCCGTCATTTGTAATATTTATCATCCTGTCTTTCCCTAATCTCATAATACTCTTGAGGCATGTGTTTTACATTAATGTATAACATATTTTTTTATAGCTTAAATATTTTTTAACTTTCAAGAAATATATATCCAATAGAAGCTTTTCTGTAAATTTACCTTGATAACAACAGCATGAGCAGGAAGATTGACACCCCAAGCTAATGTTGATGTACACACCAAAACCTTAATTAAACCTTCACTGAAATATTTTTCCACCAAATTACGATCAGTTCGTATCATTCCAGCATGATGTATGGCAAAACCATAATGGAAAAGATCCTTCAATTGATTATTTCTGGACTTGTTTATCTATAGCATCAAAAATCAATTAAATAGAATGACTCACACAAAACAGAATTCTCATAATGTGATAAGACAGATAGTGTCACATTTAAATGACCAAAATGAATGTAGTGAGAAACATTTAGCAACATTTGTTTTACCACTAATATATGATGTATCAAAATAAATGCAATGAACTACATTCAGCACTGTAATTACACAAACTTCATTTTCAATCTTGTCACAGAGAAAGCAAAAAGACTAACCTAATTTAAACTGGATCTTGGCTTGTAGTTAGGAATTTAGTCAGTGTATCAAAATGCAGCATGTATAATTTAAAGGTCAATCTATAAATTTTCCAAGAAAATTATCATATAAAACAAATAACTCCCCTTTTTAAAACTAATCTTGAAGTACAGGCAAAGTCAAAACCAGAATGAAGTCTGCAAAAATAAACTTGCAAAACCAGTTAGTTTGTTCCAATTATCGATCTGAGAATAAGAAATATTCTTCTTGCTTGTTTGAATTAAATATCATCTACTGTAAGGATGTATTTGAACTAAGAAAAGGAAAGCAATGATCTTTTTATTCTTCGGCACAATCAGTGGAAAACTCTTATTTCAAGATGTTATTAACTTAGTAATATATAGATGAAACAGCACCTGTTCTGAGACAGTACTCCTTCAAGTTGCTTTTAAGAATAACACTTTTCTGGTGGCTGTGCTATTTTAAGCAGTACTCCCATGTAAGAATGCAGTTTAACAAGAAGCTATGATACCCTGATCATTCTGGATCATTTGATATGTACTCTGAACAAGTACCTCTTAAATTGTAAAATTATATAAATGTGTGTATGGAATGGTATTGTTTCAACAGATGGTCTCTTCCTGGTACAATCTCTGTGTAACATGTTACCCATAAACATACTTTAAAAAAGGAGCTTAAACATTAATTGTCAAAATATGTTTTATTATTAAAACTATTTATGTGTTTTTCAACTAATAATTTTCCTCTTAACATTTTTTAAAATTATACTCTACATAAATAATATTGCAACTTTCTAGAAAACTTCTCATAAAATATTAATACAGCTCTTAATGCTATTGAGTATTATTTATCTAAAATATAAAAGTTTAAACAAACATTTCCCCCTAATCAGCCAAGGGATTTTTGTTGTTGTAAGAATTACATACCAAGTAGCAAGATGTTGTATACTATAGTTTACATTTAATATCATTAATAAGTTAATTATAAATGTTTAACCATGTACGTTTCTCTATATTATTTAGACATCCATTTTACTTTGTTGTCTTATTTTCGTGCTGTGAAAGTAATGTTTAGTTATAATCATAAAATGATAATTGATTTACAAATCTGTGATTTTTAGTTTTTTACATTCATAAATGTATGGAAACATGTTGGAAAAACATGTACTGTAATGATTAGGTACTGTAATGATACCAGACCAATATCAACTTACTGTCAAAAATGCATAAACATGTTTACATGCATTTATGCATCAAAATGTCATTAAATTATAAGTTGTTTTTATATAACTTTCAAATTTGTTTCAATGAAACAAATGATATCATTGCATATGTTTCATACTGCCACACATTTGGAAAGAATGGTATGTTTTAAAAATTAAAAATAGGATAAATGTTTAAAATACACGATAAAATTTTATTTGGCTGACAACAAAAATTAGAAAAACAACTTGTTTCGATAGCTTTACGCTGCCATCATTAGCAGATAGTTTTATAAAGAAAAGGATTAACATAATACAAAGTTTTTGAAAAAAATATTGGATTTTTATGCATAATACTCACACCACCATCACAGATTACAAGAAGAAAACATAACAAAAAATATATTTAATTAGCTATCCTGATTACCGGGTTGATTTTTACTTTTCCTTGAAGTACCTAAATTGCACTGATTAGAAGATAATATTAATTCTTCAGTTTTTTCCAACTACACCAATTATTGTGCAGCTGTTAAAAATAACTATTAAGTTCAAGTTCATGAAACTGAATAATTTTAAATAACAACATTTTCATTTTCTCTGCACCAACCTCAGCAATTTCAAAAAAGTACAGACAAATCAACAACTGAAATAAGAACTATCTTCAATAAATCTAATGAATAATAGTTATCAAACGTTTCTTAAGAAAAAACTTTTAATTTTATCTGTTATTATCAGTAATTAATCTCTGTACAGGTTCTGTAGATTTGAACGATCTCGCAACCACCATAAAAATTAGTAAATAAATATAAATTATACCTCTTTCATTCTAAAATGAACACAAATTATAAAAACATAAATGTTTATACTAAATAGCTTAAATCTCATAACATTATACATTTATATATATATTTATTATTTTTACTATATTGACTTTTCAGCCGTGCCTGGCTAACAATGATGCAGCTCGCATGCACTCATGTTACCGTATCAAATAACATAAAGCTGACCTTTGGTCTGTACAATGTACCTTGTCTTGGCTGTGTTTTAGTAGACTAGTATTTTGTAAAATACAGTCACATTTCAATTACTATACATTTTATATGTATATAGATTATTGCTATTTTGAAATAAGTTCTTAAACATATTTTTACTGCAACATAGAACAGTAAATAAAGTAAAACAAACAATTCTCTTCTAGTTACAACCTTTGTACTTGGTTGCTGCTTGATATAGGTTGCTAAG